ATTTACAGTGCAAGTGTCACTTTCCATGTGCAAACTGTAAATACACTGAGATTTACACAGCTGAAATGAGGGCCTTGTATGAATATCAGACGAATACATTTGCTAGAGATGACATGAGGCTACCACAGCACAGACCACCTTTCTCAACAAAACCTGCTTACTATGTCATGAAACTGACCTCAGACAACTCTTTGAATTATGGGAATGACAGGTTTGAAAATACCCTCATAAATCTTCAGAGGCCTATCAACATCTGTCTTCAATCTTTTCCCCCCCACTTAGTTCAAATTCTTTTGGATTAGCAGCAATTCCCACCATCACCAACACCACCATCCCCCTCTGCAAACACATGAGCAGAAATGTGGGACAGTTAAGCTTTGATTTTGAGCTGAAGTTCAAGATGTGGAGGAATATCTTGGTTTAGCTCCTTCAACCAGCTCTGTACAGATGGTCATGGTGTCAAGGTTTAGTTGGCTGCTTGACCCAAATTCAGAAAACAACACTCAGGAGAGGTGGAATGAGAGAAATGAGGTTTATTGCAAAAACAGAGAGCAGTGATGACGTTGAGAACAGGTGAGGGTTTTACCAGTCGTGAGCTGATGGTCCAGGCAGTCACAGTGAAGCACGGAGGGAAATGCAGCTGGAAACACTCGGAAGGAAACACTCGGAAGGAAACACTCGGAAGGAAACACTCGGAAGGAAACACTCGGAAGGAACGGCTTGAAATGGCCATGTAGAAAGACACTCAGGCCCAGACTGAACATCCTCTTATACACAGAGTGACGAACTTAATGAATCGCAGGTGTGTAGCCCACACACCTGCAGGGAAGTCACAGAAGGAGAGTTCCTCCAGGACACCCTCTGGTGGACGCCTGGAGAAGAACATAAACACAGGGGCCAAAACCACTATTCCCTGACATCACCCCCCCCCCCCTCAATGGCCACCACCTGGCAGCCTAGAAGAAGCAAATGCGTGAAGCATCCAAAAAAGCTCCAAAATGAGCCAGGTGGGTGGAGGAGGGCCCGGAGGAAGGTCCGGAGGAGGATCAGGAAAGAAAAAAACAAAAAAACAAAAGGTGTCCAGAACTGTCTGGCAGATAGTCCAACAACTTACAAAATAGAAAGGTCCAGAGGCCTAGGATCGGACCAACAAAGTGCACAAAAATACATATTCCTCAGGCAGGTGGGACAGCTCAGGAGGACGGCCTGGAGGCTGGCCGGGCAGACGGGGTCGCTCAGGAGGACAGCTGCAGAACCACAGAGGTGGTTGAACCTGAGGTCGGGCTGGAGACCAGCGGCGGAACCCATCAGCAGGCCAGCGATAGATGAGACGGAGACCCTCGGGCGGTCGGGCTGGAGGCCGGCGGCGGAATTCATCAGGAGGCCCGCAATAGAAGAGATGGAGACCCTCGGACTGTCGGGTTGGGGGCCGGCGGTGGGACCCCTTAGGAGGCCGGACAGGAACCCAGAGACGTAGGAGGCGGGATCCCTCTGGAGGCCGGATCGGAGGCCGGCGACAAAGGAGGCAGGATCCCTCTCGAGGCTGGACCGGAGGCCGGCAACAAAGGATCCCTCTGGGGGCCGGCGACGAAGGAGGCGGGATCCCTCTGGGGGCCGCCGACGAAGGTGGCGGGATCCCTCTGGGGGCCGCCGACGAAGGTGGCGGGATCCCTCAGGAGGCCGGCGAAGGCGTAGGCGGGATCCCTCAGGAGGCTGGACAGGAACCCGGAGACGTAGGAGACGGGATCCCTCTGGAGGCCGGACTGGAGCCCGGCGACGAAGGAGGCAGGATCCCTCTCGAGGCTGGACTGGAGGTCGGCAACAAAGGAGGCGGGATCCCTCTGGAGGCCGATGACGGCAGAGCGGGATCCCTTAGGAGACCGGCGAAGGCGTAGGCGGGATCCCTCAGGAGGCTGGACTCGGGCCGGGGGCCGGCGAAGGCGGAGCCCCTCTGGAGGCCGGACTCAGGTCAGGAGCTGGTAATTGTTACCGCTGGCATTTTTACCGCTGGCGTTTGCTATCAAGCTTCTAGCATTCCACTGCAGAAAGTTACTGTTTAAGCTTTTGTTTGCAAAGGTAGCCCTGACACCTGTTGAGATGACTTTGGCTGGGAAGCTGTCTGCTCACGTCTATTTCTGTTCTTAAGCTCTTCAAAAACATTCTCCCATTTGATATCTTTAATGCCCAGGTACCTTGCAGCACTTTTTACAACAACAGCAGTTTTTTCAGACCTATACTTTGCTTGGTATGTACAATTTATAACTTCAACAATAAAATACAAAAAGTCTCTTTTTAACAATCAGTGTATGCTCATCTATAGTTGAACCTTTCTTAACCGTTCGAGCGTGACTTAACAGATTAGACTAATTTTGCGCTCGCTTTGCTGCTTCAGCGTAAGACAGCTTTCCCTCTGCTCTAATATGCTGGATTTCAGCTGCTCTCTTTCTGGCCACACAGTTCCTGTGCCCAACACTATGTGCTCCCCCACAATTGACACATTTCTCTTGCACCCCTTCTACACACGTTCTGTAGTCATACTCCCCTCCACAACGGCCACAGGTTTGGGTACCTTTACAATAAGCAGCTATATGACTTCACCAGCACTTTAAAGCCCACCTGATCCATTTTCCTCCACACAACTCACAACCTTTCATTCACATCCCCTGAATCACTGCCGTGACTCAGCACTCTCTTTGCTCTTCTCTGACTTTCACCCTCAGTGCTGACACGCTCCTCCATACTATCCTCACTAAGGGCCCCCTCCGACCCTTCCATAATGTGATCGTTTACAATCTCCTTAGAGATAGTTGTTTGTTTTATCAAAGAGATTCTTTTGATACAACTCACAACCAATTTCAGCTTTCGCGCTCAAACCAGCGACGTAGCTCTTCTGGCGTCACTCCGCCGACCAGGCCCAGACTGAATGGTGAGAGCTCCACAGAGTGACGAACTTAATGAATCGCAGGTGCGTAGCCCACACACCTGCAGGGAATCAGTCACAGAAGGAGAGTTCCTCCAGGATGCCTTCTGGTGGACGCCTGGAGAAGAACATAACACAGGGGCCAAAAACCACCATTCCTTGACACATGGGAGCAGCAAAGAATTCTAGACTTGTTGTGGGTCCTTTGTCTAATTTTATTCATGTCTCTCACGTCTTTATTGATTTATTTTATAAAAAGCTATTTGAGCCAGGGCTGCAAGGTGAATCAGTGGTTAGCACCGTTGACTGGCAGCAAGAAGGTCACCTGGGATCTTTCTGCATGGAGTTTGCATGTTCAATTCAATTCAACTTTATTTGTATAGCGCAGTTAACAACATATGTCATCACACAGCACTTAACAAAGTAAGGTGTAGATCTTACAAATTTAAACAGAGAACCCAAAAATCCAAAGTAGTCTTTGGACTCCTTCTAACATCGGAGGGAAGGAACCAATGCTATAGCAACATAACTAAGGGACAATCTAATGTTCAGGTTCTCTATTCAGACATGTAGAGTGTGGTTTTTTATTACCTGACAGTTTCGGCGACAAACGCTCACCTTCTTCAGAGATGACAACTGACAGCGAGTGATGTGTCAGCCGGGGCGGTCGGGTCTTTTGGGCTCGCCACGACACACCATTTTGGTGTGGGCGTGGCTTGCCCGGCGGATCTGATGCCTCAGCTGGGCGTGCCGCAGGTGCCGGCTGTCAAAATCTGCCGGCTGACACGTCACTCGCTGTCAGTTGTCATCTCTGAAGAAGCCGAGCGTTTGTCGCCGAAACTGTCAGGTAATAAAAAACCACACTCTACATGTCTGAATAGAGAACCTGAACATTAGATTATAACTAAGAAGACATGATGAACGTTTTCGATTTATAACTAAGGGACAGTTCAGGTGATCCTGAGCAGCCCTAACTACAAGCTTTATCAAAGAGGAACGTTTTAAACATAACCTTAAAAGTAGAGAGGGTGTTTGCCTCCCGAACCCAAACGGGGAGCTGATTCTACAAGAGAGGAGCCTGATAACTGAAGGCTCTGCCTCCCATTCTACTTCTGGAAACTCTGGGAACCACCAGTAGACCTGCAATCTGAGAGCGAAGGGCTCTGTTAGGATGATACTGTGCCATAAGGTTTGAAGGTAGAATGGTGCTCGGTCATTGAGAGTTTTATATGTTAAAAGCAGGATTTTAAATTGGATCCTTGATTTTACAGGGAGCCAATGAAGAGAAGCTAATACAGGAGAAATATGATCTCTCTTACTGGTTCCTGTCAGAACCCTGACTGCAGCATTTTGGATCAGCTGAAGGTTTTTGAGAGAGTGCTTCTCCCCGTGCAGCGTGGGTTCTCTCCGGGATTCTCCTTCCTCGCGCACAGTCCAAAAACATGTTGAGGTTAATTGGTGATTCTAAAATTATCTGTAGGTGTGAATGTGACTGTGTTTGGTTGTCTGTCACAGCAGAACTTACATTTTCTGATGATACTAGTTGTTTCTTTGAGCACCAAAGAGTACTCTGGTTTGGAAATTACCTAAATCTTCTGACATTACCTCCTACTTTGTATAAAAACTAACACAAAATTATAACTGCAATGATTTGTAAATACATTTCACCTGATGAAGAAATAATGCTAAAAGACCATACAGCCTAATTCAGTTAATTTTGTTTGCCAAAAATATTTTTTTTGTAGATTCTATCCTGGATTTTTCAAAACAAAAAAATAACAGTAAATTTACTTTTATTATTCTGTGTTTTCTAAAAGACGCTGCATTATTTTTAGTTAGGAGTTCATCTAGTTGGATGTTAGCATGTTACTTTTCAATTATACCTTGCAAATAGTTTCTGATAGTCTCAGTTTCAACAGAAAGCATTAAAGGTAAATGTCTGTATTTTTCAGAAACACATATACACATTACGATCAACACACATCTGGGTTCAAAATAAATCTAAAAGCTGTGATTATTTTGGTCAAAAGCAATATGTTTTCTCCCTTCCAAAGTGTTTTTATTTATCCATTTTCCGCAGCATTATATCCTTGCTTTCGGTGGCATCATTGCAGTCCCACTGATCCTGGCTGAACCACTCTGCATAAAGGACAACAATGTTGCCAAAAGCCAGCTCATCTCCACTATATTCTTTGTGTCAGGATTATGTACGCTGCTGCAGACGGCTGTTGGAACCAGGTAACACCCTCTTACTGTTTTACTGCACCAGCGAACGAGGGAGAACCAGGCTGCACAGAGTCTACACATGCACACACGAGGAATCCTGCTTTTGTGAAAATTCATTAGGTACTCTCACCCTGTGTTGAGTACTAAATATTTCTAATATTAATAATAGTAATATTTACAGTATTTGATTTATAGGTCCCCCGAGGTAAAATTTTTTTTATTCTTTCACTTCTGCCATTCCTCAAGCTCACCCTCCCCCCAACTAGTTAGCCTCCCAGCTTTTAAATCTGGTAAGAATTCGATTCTGGTGCAACGTACAGCAGCCCGTTTAGAAGAGCTATAAACCAGGGGTTGTACAGTAATGGTGAAGTGAACCAGCTTTGTAGGATTTTGAGCTGAGAAACTGAACGACACACTGTAGGGACATTTGAGACTTTAAATAATTTGGTGAAAAGAGGCTCAATAAGGAACTTAAAAGTAAAAACTGTTCTCTGCATACCAATGTTTCCCATGAAACTAACCAAGTTACGCATTCAAATGTCTTGATAATTCTACACCACCACTACCTCTAGAGGTTGCGGATCTAAGAAATCTCCACTCAACTCTTCTATTCATTCGAGCTGGAGTACACCAGCCTACCTACAACTCTGCTCAAACACTGTAAAATGACCCTGTGCCACACAATGCTATAGTGCAATACTGCAGTAATTTAGCCATACATGTTTAAACCAGAAACTGATTCAGAGGAAGATTAGGTTAACAGTCACACATAAAATCTGAATGTGTGTCTTTCAGACTGTCATCAACACTCTGCAGTTTCAAGGTGGAAACACATTCACATATGGCACCAACTGATTATTTAGCTCTTAATATGTCTTCTAACCCATAAAAACACCATGTGGACAGATTGACAAGGTTACAAAACTTGTTTTTGCTAGAGATGGTCTTTAAGATTTCCAGCAGCTGCCAAATGAATGACAATCCCAATTTAAAAAGATTTCCTTTATACTCTGGTAGATTAACCTTTTCACCTTTGTCCTGCATGTTTTACATCCCTGATACAGAGGAATCATTTCTTTAATTTATTAAGGATTATGTGATAGCATACCTCTGTCCTCCTACATGTGCGGCTTCTTTGCACTGGTCCTTTGATGGTTTCACAAACTTCATGTCTTGACAGAGCAGAAGTGAGTGGTTTAGAAAAAGCCTGAAGTAACAACCCCTGTGATTGTTCACGTGGATTTAAACTGAGTCAGTTTGCGTCACACTGAGTGGACGGGAGACTTTCCCTTTCAGAATAAGTAATGAGCCTTGTGTTCTCTAAAGTTTACATGGCTTAATTTGCACCTTTACTTTTATGATAGAGTTGTGAAACCCCACTAGCCATTTGACACTTTGATTACAATAATCCTTTTGAAACTGCTGCATTAATCTTTATGCGTAAAAAAAAAAAAAAATGTTTGTGTGAAAGACAGTGCAGCTGCACAATACAGTACAGGGCTCCACATACACATTCTTCTGCACTGCTGTAACAGTAAGCCTGAGCAAATAACTAATGCTTTTGTTTGAGTTTTCCACCCACATAGTTTGGCAAAAGCTTAAAGGAACACAAATGAGATCCCAGCAAACACTTTGACATTGAATAATAAGTACGTTCATCTTTATTTTCATTGCACCTTTCAAATTGTGGTTTGCACTCTTGTGAAACAAAAGAATATTTTAAAAAAACAAAGACACACAGACAATACCACACAGAAAATAAAGTATGCTTAAAGTCAACAGAGGCAGAGAAATTAGTACATGTACATGCACAATCCACAATATTTCCTGCAAAGCCACTATAAAAGATTTTGTCCATTTAGGTTTTGAATAGCTTCAGTTTGAGCAAACATGTACAATCACATGTTTTCATGAAGCTCTTATAAGCAAGAATGTGGAAATAGCTGCAGGGAAAAGAAGAAAATTGTTCTCACTTTAAACGGCTATTTGAAGGAGTTGCAAAGAACAGAAAGTTGGTAATGACTGATCTATCCGATGATTTGTGAATTTTAAACTTAAACCTCTGGGAAAGGGTGTTCTGAGACAATTAAAAAACAAATTTCTATTGTTGTATGATGTAGCAGCTACTGCCTGTACTACTATTTGTAAAATCCTTGCCGACATACGTTGTCAGAATCATTAGGAACTCAAAAGGGGATTGTCCTTTAGGTCCTTGTGCTAATAATGTTGTGTTTCCTGACCAAACTCCCAGTCACTGAGAAAAGCAACCTGCTCATTAAAATCCTCCACTTTCTGGCTTGTTTTGAGCAGATCCAGGTCACCCTAGTCTGCAGAGACCTGACATCATTTACACCAGTGACTTCTGACCTTTAACTCCATCACCTTACTGATTTGCAGGTTACCGATCCTCCAGGGTGGGACCTTCAGTTTCATCACTCCAACCCTGGCCATCCTTGCTCTGCCCAAGTGGCAGTGTCCAGCTCCGAAATCACCTGTCATGCTGTCCATGCAGCTGCAAAATAGCACCAGCTCATTGCAAACGGAAAATTCTGACGAGATCTGGATGTCTCGAATGCGTGAGGTGTGTAAAATATTCACTTGCATTAAAGGATGACTCTTCAACATATTAAACTTGAAAATTAAAATTGAATGTTGACACTGACCAGTGTACCTATATTTAATGCTTCATCATTTAGGTTCTTATAAAGCAACCCTTGTATGTTTGAGGTGCCTGCATGGGCTGTCACCGGGTTCTCCGGCTTCCTCCCACAGTCCAAATACATACTGAGGTTAATTGGTGATTCTAAATTGTCCGTAGGTGTGAATGTGAGTGTGATTGGTTGTCTGTCTCTCTGTGTAGTCCTGTGATAAACTGGCAACCTATCCAGAGTGAACCCTATAGCTGGAATAGGCTCCAGCCGCTCCGCAACCCTATAGTGCAGACATCAGCAAATGGCGGACCTCAGTCCGGTCCCAGACCGAATGATGGTTCTGTCATGACCTGTGACCAATCACTGATAAATTCACAAGAATAGATTTTTATGGAGCATTTTTTTTCCGACGGTTGCAGCTATAGACACCGGGCGCTGCTACTCCAGTTAATATGGCAATAGCTCCACTCAGTCGAGCCAATGAAATCGTTTGGTTACCCTGCACGGCCAGCGTACTGCCACAGCTCGCTGCCAATGCCACTTTGCACTGCCTACACAGCAGAGCAGAGAGGAAGAGAGAGTGATGACAGCATGGCTTGCAAAAGCAGGAAGGTTGATGAGGAAAACCGTTGCTTTGAAGATGAGTGGACGGAGAAATGTATGTTCATTCTTCCATCAGGCAGTTCACAGCCAGTGTGCCTCATATGCTCTAAAAACGTGACACTACGAAACAATGCACAGTTTTTTTGAGCAAAGTTATCCCCTGAAGTCCAAGCTGAGGGCACATAAAATAACTGAGCTGCAAGCCCTGTATGACAGATCTATCTGACTCATCACCACATTTACAGCCCAGCAACGTGCAAATGAAACCTTTTATTTATTGTTTTCTGAGGATGTTGACTTTTTTACCTGAAGTGGAGGCCTTCAGTTCTTTAGGCTGGGACCTCTTTAAGAGATAAAAGGGTTATTCAGCTCTGTTTGCATTTTTTTAAAATGTATTTTATTGTGAGGTTTTTGTTTTCTCTAATCTGAAATAAAGGCCTTGATTTTTTTGCCTGGGACAACTTATATATATGGTAAAAGAGCTAGCTGTGCACTCAGTTAAACATATCCTTCACTGAAAATAGTGTTGCCGAAACCGTGAAAATGTGTCCATAGGGGAAGGCTATAAGACACAACTGGACCTCGGTTCAGACCTTTTACTTGGAGGAAATTAAAATAACTGGACCTCAGTGATTTTTAGTTGAATACCCCTGCTATAGAGGATTAAGCAATGCTTAGATAATGGATGGATGGATGTTTGAGGTTGAAACTCATCCTCACATTTAGTCAGTAACAGCTATAAAAAAGTTAGGCCAGTGTAAATAACCACAGGCTCTCTGGGCCAGAGGCAGGATTTTGAAATACAGTAAGTCTCCTTGATCTTATCACCAGTCCAGAGTGAGATCTGAAAAACTTGTAATTTCGGCCAAACAAAAACAAACAAGTAATAAATAGTCTGAAGACAGATCTAACCTGTTCTACAAAGTATCCATTGCAACCCCACCAAATGGCGAACAGCAAATCCTACATCCACTTTATAATTGTATAAAATGGTCTCTATTGTCAGTGTGCTACTCTCTGCAACTGATGAAGAATTTTGTTTTTTGCATTTTTTATTTCAATTAGTAGAAGCGGTTAATGTAAGCATCAGGAACATTTGAAGCATCTCCTAAATTAATTTCAGCTTAGCATTATGAGTATTTTGTGTCACTATATATGTGCTCCCTGTCAGCATATACTTACCACACCTTTACATATCATGATTGATTCAATTCAATTCAGTTCAATTCAATTCAATTCAATTCAATTCAATTCAATTCAATTCAATTCAATTATACTTTATTGATCCCTTACAGAGAAATTTCATTTACAGTTACATCCCATCCAAGAAACATAAAGACAATAACTGGGGGAGACAGGAACTGTCGGGTCTGGCAGCCTAACCGGCGCCCCTTATCAATTAGAGGAAAAAGGAAAAACAAGAGGGAAAAAATGAGGGGAAAAAAGGCAATTTCCAAACTAGGCTCCTCCAGGGGGAGGGCACAGTGTGGGATTCGGAAAAAAACACCTCAGCACATCAGCAACATGATAAAACATCACAACAAAACTCAAGACTTGCGCATGTCGTAGTGGGGGGAGGGTGTTGGGGAGGGGAGGTGTCACAGCTCAGACACTGGGGGGAGCGCACAGCCACGAGGCACGTCACATCAGCCCACAGCATACTGGTCTGTGACGGGGGAGGGAGAGGGGGTGGAGAGCCAACCAAGGCGTTGAGTCCAGGGGTGTGTGTGTGTGTTGTGTGTCTTCGTGTATGTGTATGTGTAAGTCCATGGACTTCATTGCCACCCAGACTCAACAGTGTCTCTGACATCTGATACAGGTGACGAGACACAGCCGTTGCCGTGGAGACGAGCTCGAAGAGTTCTGGTCCAGAACAAAGTTCACAGGAGAAGGAGTAGGGTAGGGGAGGGGCAGAGCATCCATCTGCATAACATCCAGGAGAGTGTAGAGGTATCAGCCTTCCAAGGCCAAGGCCGAAACGGGGGATAAGGCCGACTTGCAATTTACTGTCAGTCCTTAGAGTCCCACTGATTCTCTCTGTGATCCAAAATCCGAATTTGATGTCCCATTACATCCAGATCGGGCTGTTCAACTGCTCCAAGTTGGTGCCCATCTTGCGAATCAGTTCTGGAACCCCTTCCAGTCTGTGATTATGTTCGCATGTCGCTTGAGTCTGTGAGTTGACAGCCTGAAGCAATCCATCCATGATGGGCAGCTTGTCAAATGCCAAAACCGCTGCCTCCGTCTTCCAAACTTTGCGATAAAGCAGGAACCCACAAACTCCAAACAGCAGGAAGCCTGTTATCATGATCCCAATTAGGTAGACGTCTTCAACATCCTCCATGGAAAGTACAGAGAGGCACACGACCCTCCACACCTGCCAGGAGTCCATTGTGTATCCTGCTGCAAACGTTCTGTCAGGCTCTCCTTTGCCCAGTCTTCTCGTCGAGAAAATTTGATCAATTGCGTTGAGAGACCAACTGATCAAATCCATGATTCAGGTTTTGGAATTTTGGAGTGAAATGCAGAGAGAGGCTCTGATAGATTCAGACAAAGACAGCACAGGACAAAGAGTAGCAAGCAGGGCAGATAAGGGCCGGGAAGGAGCAAGAGAAAAAGCGTCCGCCTTCGTTGAGAGCAGGAAGAGAAGGGAGTTGATGGAGTTGTGACAGTTGTTGTAGGAGATGTTTTACTCTGATTGCACGAACTCTTGAGTAAAGACCTATTTGACAAGTTCTATTACTTTATATTCTTTGATGAAAGTGCATGGTGAGATTTTAAATAGGAGTACAAGCAGCAGTTCATAAATTTTGCTGGTACCTATGAACATCAGGTTAAACAAGTTCTACTCACATTGGTAGCATTCGTGCTTTTATTATTATTATTATTATTAGTATTAGTATTATTATTGTTATTATTATTATTATTATTATTATTATTATTATTATAACAATTTAATTTAAGACTTGACATGTTTGCCAGACATGTTGTCACTAGTTGGGAATCTCAATACATCTGCAGCTCTTGAAAATTCTGAAAAAGCATTGGATAAAGTTTTCTTGAACACTGCATTGCAAGGTATTAAAAAAGTCCTAAATTTCCTTTCCAAAGGTTCATATAAAATGTTTTTGTGAATGATTTTAGCAAAAACTGTCCAAAAGTATCAGTGTTCCAGGCTCTGCTATGCATCCAACCATTTTCTTGTATGAATCCATCTTTGTGGGAGCAGCAGACTAAGCAGGGCATTCCAGATGTCCCTCTCCCCATTAATGTTTTTCAGTTCAGGGATCCTGAGGTGTTAACAGGCCTGAGATATGTGATACCTCCAGTTAGTTCTCTGTCCACTCCTAGTTGGACATTCCTGGAAAAAACTCCAAAGAATGGTAGCCCAGGAGGCAGTTACTGTACCCTAGTCAATCTATAGAGGAAACTCATGTTGGCAGCTTGTAAGCACAATGTCATTCTTTGGGTCATGAATTAAAACTGCTGACCACAGGTGAGTGTTTGATTGATTGGCACATCAAGATCTTTACCCACCAGTTCAGCTTCCTCTTCACCACAACAAACTGGCACAACACTGATGCAACTCTTCACTCATGAACAAGATATTTGAATTGTTACCCATAACTCAGAGCTTTTACCTCAAATTTATTATTATTTTTTGTAGGAGCTTAATCCATCCATCCATCCATCCATCCATCCATCCATCCATCCATGCGTATTTTGTGGCTTATCCTCTTCCAGGCATGTTTAGTGAAAAAAACAAAAAACAAAAAACATTAAAGGTAGATAAATTATTCTAATCCTCATCACCTGCTACAGCCAGGAAACAGTTATTATATTCCTTGAAAGAATCCCTGGATCTGTCCAAATACAAGACCTTTGTTTTACCACTGAAAACTCAGCAGTTCTGCATCTGAGGTTAGATGCAAGGTGCTAAAAAGTCAACCTGAAGGATTAGAAAGGCCAACGAGTGCAGTCTGTTTACCTGTAGATACTGGCTTATGTATTAGAATGTGTATATATATATATATTGTTCCTCTTGCCTTGCTTTCCACAGATCCAAGGAGCCATCCTGGTGGCCTCTCTGCTTCAGATCGTCCTGGGCTTCTCTGGGCTGGTGGGCCTTGTGCTCAGATTTATCGGCCCTTTGGCTATCGCTCCCACCATCAATCTAATTGGTCTGTCACTGTTCATTGAAGCTGGAAAGAAGTCAGGAGGTCACTGGGGAATTGCTGCTCTGTGAGTGGATGACTTTTATCAAGTTGTTGTTCTCCCACCATTCTCCAGAATAGCCTCTACTTCTTATGATAATTCTGGTTCTACTCTGTATAACAAAGTGCTTCTCAGGTTAAAACACAGTTTAAATTCATCACATTTTTAAAGAAGACAGGTTGGAGAAACAAAATCTTGGGTGTTTACTTCAAAGCATTTTCATTTATTTATTTTTTTTTATCTTAAGGAAGGGACTTAAAGGAGGTCACTGGCTCAGCTGACCTGATTTCCTCTGGTAGATTGTTCCGCAATGCTGCTGACTGCGAATGCTCTGTCCCTGTTTTTTGTTCCAGCCAGGTCCTGAAACAGACAAAACACTTATTTGTTCTTGATCCTAATTCTTGGAATAGACATTTCACGTAGTCTATGAGCTCTCAATGTCAAACATCATGTAGTGTCTATATATATATATATACACACACTCACTGAGAACTTTTTCAGGTACTCCATATTTATAACGTGGCCTCCCTTTTTGTTTAACACAACTTAATGTCTTGGATTCCACACCATGTTGTAAACCTCCCTTTCTAGTCCATGTTGACATGACTGATTACATCATTCCATAGCTTCACAAAAATGTTCTGCTGAATTCAGATTTGTTGACTGGGGAGGGCACTTCCTTTTTCATGAATGGAGTTCACTGAACTCCACTGCTTGAGATGGCTTTAGTTCTGTGACATGACACATTAGACCAGTAAGAAGGAACTAGTAGAAGATAATACATTCTGGCTATAAAGGGATAGACATAGTCAGCCCTAATTCCCAAATGGAATGTGGCATTCAAACCATGGTATTAAGGTGGCCCACAGTACTAAGAAAACAATCCCGTCCCCATTACAACACCACCAACCTGAACTGCTGACAAAGGGCAGGTTGGGTTAATAGACTCATGCTGCTGCTGCCAAATTCTAAGCCTTACCATCTGCATGCTGCAGCAAGATTCAGACCAGGATCTGTTTTTCAGTTGTGCAGTGTTGGGAAGACTGCAGCTTCAGGTTTCTGTTGGCTTGACATGGTCTTCTGTGTAGCCCATCTGGGTAAAGCCTTGCATGAAGCATGAACATACAGGTGTACAGGTGTTCCCAACAAAATGCTCGATAAGTGTAGGCATGGACTACATGTACACTGAGCTGATGCAGTCTAATACAAAAACTATGTAAAATATTAATATTTGAGGACGGCTAAACAGAATTCATAACCTTTTGGAGGCTGTCGTTTTGACTACTGTTGGATTGTACTTTGGATGAAGTTGGTTTAGAAGGAATGAAGAAATTGTAACACTTGAGTGAAAAATAAAATTCTGTACATATGTGAACATAGCAAAATAACAGCAGGAAACTTTAACACAACAAATACGATACAGTAAGATAACATTGAAAACTGAGTAACATTCCAAGGACACAAAGTCCTGTACACTCCATCCATCCTGTTAACACACTCCAACACTATGTAATTATTTTATATAGCCAATTCATTTTGTGTTTATTTGCCTGTTTTCCACCCGATTTGTTTCTTTTTCTTTTTCTTTTTCTTTTTTTTTTTTTACAGCAATCATCCACCTCATCTTTACAACTGCAGCCTCTATAACTCAATGTTCCACAAAATCTCTCCCTTCATTTACCTGTGACTCTGCTCTGTGCAATCCCATGAAATCTGCCTTCATTTACCGCTGCCATCTCCAGATAATGCAGACTAACCTCATTACATACAGTGATCCTTGTGGGTTTTAAAAGGTCCAGCACACTCACCTCCTGGTGCCATATATGGATGGTAATCAGTCATATCCTTCTTAGCCTCAGTGCTTTGCCCCACTCCACAGGAGTCTCAGTACAAGATCCCCACAGCTTGCAGGAGCACAGGCATCTTGTTGCTGTAATTCAAATCTTCCAGGGCACAAATCATTGAGACACTGCCAGTCTTTTATAAGACACACTGGAGGGTGAAATGATGAAGGCGATTTCTGAATCATGATGTATCGAAAAAAAAATTGACTACATCCTTCTTCTTACACGTTCACGTTTGAGGATTATTCAAGACTGAAATTTAAAGCAAGATATTACAAATGAAATGAAATGAAAAATACTTTATTCATCCCAGAAGGGAAATTCAATTGGATGGGATATTAACATCTGGTTCTCTCTTTGATAGACGTTTTCTTTATCAAATCACTTCTCCATTCATTTGAGCATACAGTATATCATTAATATCATGGCACAGATGGGGCTTTATGTTGAAAACACTGCAGGAGTGGGGGCAGTTTCAGATTCTCCCAGCTATACAAATTGTGAAGATAAGGGCCCAATATCAAATCACCATCTCCTCCATCTTTCTCTCCTGACCCCTAACAAAACCACTCAGCTATTTGGTCTGTCATATAAGATCAAAGCACACATTTTTCATTTCAAACATGCACTGTATTGATTTTGCTCCTGCTGTGTAGGGATCAATGTGTTTACAGTGTAAATGTTCACATTAATTTGAGTGACTTGCCCATACTGTATGTGAAACACAGTGGAGCTGAAAAAGGAAAGACTTTTTTTTCTTCTCTGAAATAAAATATGCCTTTCAGCCTCGCCTTGTTAGATGTTCCCCAACTTTCCCACTGAAAAAAAACATGCACCTTGACACTATTAGTCTTAAACAGAATTTCATGCACAATGTGCAGCGTGTTCATGTGCAACATGAACTGTTTCAAGCACAGCAGGAAATGCCATTCAAAGGCAGGAGCTGTGTGTTTTATACTCTAATGGCCACTTTTGCCGCACCAATGCTGTTACTTACCCAAAGCATTTTCCAGTATCATGTACTGTGTAAAATGACATGTGTTCACTCACTTTGAACTCCTTTTAACAGTGATATATGGAAGCATGCCATGTTTGAGTACAGTTACACTAATAGCTGTAAGCAAAGCCAAGCCTTGGGGTAAATGACTGTGACTGACATATTTTACCCTGTATTGTGTTTTTCACAGCACGGTCTCTCTGATCCTCCTGTTCTCCCAATATCTCAGCAAAGTCAACGTTCCAATGATTGCTTACAAGGACAAGAAGTGGAAGGTTTTCCAGTATCCGCTCTTCAAGCTCTTTTCTGTGAGTTTTTTAAATGTATTTCAGGATTCACAAAGCCTGTTCATAATGTCTTTGTCTTACTTAAAACTTTACATTTATAATTAAACATACACTTTAAAACATCATCTGATATCAAATCAAAGTATGAATATCCACATTGTGGACTGAATAATTTTGACAAAGATAATGGTATCTTTAAGGCACATTAACAAGGTTTTAAAAATGCTTTTTCCCACAGGTTATACTTCCACTATGCAAGCACACAGTGTCAATGTAGTTTGTAGAGTTGATAACAAGAAATAACGTATAAGTCAAAACTTTTTAATTATTGTCTTGTGAATCTTTCAAAAATGTTCACCATGTTTGAACACCCAAATAGCAGTTTTTGTAAGTGGGAAAATATAGAAACAACACAACATATTCTATAAAGACAAAAACAAAAACAAACAAACAAACAAAACTAGAGTGTTGCACAGGGCAAAGGTTAAAAGTGACAACGATACAAAATCAGGTGCTCTTCAATACTAAAGGCTGTAGCCACAAGACATGAAAAAATGATGAGTGTCCCACTTCTTCTCAATGGAAGGCCTTGTTGTTGGTCTTCATCCAGGGTGTCACCCAGATGAAGAGACTCTCTGTCAACCAATACCAAGCATTTCCATTCATAAGGAGTGGGACATGTATTACTAGTTCTTGCTAACAAAATATCTAAAGTTATGTAAAAAAATGCAGTTCCAGTTGGGTAAGCTGAAATTGAATTTTTCTTGAAACTAGTGATGATACAGAGGCAACCTTGAACCTGTCAAATACTCAATGCAATTCAAAATGCCCTTAAAACTAATTTTGCTTGTCAGCTCAAGTTCTGCCAGGGTTTTTATGGGTGGGTGGATGGTGTGTGGGGGGGAATCTTCCCTTTATGATCTGATGGCCCATGGACAGGTTAGGTCATATACTGTACAAATTGTTAGCCCACCAAAAGTAGATCTGTGAATTGTGATAGTGGGTTATAAAGATTGATGAGCTTCAACGTGTTGGTTAGAAATGGCCCGTCAGGTGTAGACTACCTGTGATGATTGAACAGCACTGATGACTATTTTTTTTTTTAACCTCTAGCCTTAGTTCAGTCAAACACACGTTTTCTGCATATCATCCACCCTGCTTTACACTCATGTAGTTGTATACCCTGTCACTGTGGGGGCTGCCACACACAGTCACAATTTTCTGCTGGTAACTGTCAATCAGACATGCACTGAATGTTGCCTTGGTTTCGATGAAAATGTTAGAGGTTAATTATGGTCCGAGAAGAGATCTGCTTTATATAAATAAGCTATTTTTATCAATACAGAAGGCATATTTCAGACCAAAAAAAAGAGTGATGGCAGCAAATTGAAGCATGGTTGGATGTGCTTTGAAGCTTCTGGGTGTGAATTTGTATAATTCCATGGATGCTTAGAAGGATGATGAGTATACATGCTAATTAAATGCTGACTTGGCGAGTAGACATTTAAGAGAATGACAAAAAAATCACACTGAAGGCAGAAGCTCCTTTAGAGAGCTAAATACCTCTGAGTCAGAAGGTCTTTGAAATAATTTATTAATGACAGCCCTGCACATTTCAGCAGAATGACTCAGTAAGCCAGCCTTTAAAAACAAAACAAAACAAAACAAAAAACCCCAAAGGTCTCTGGTTCATAGAGCAAAAAAAATTCCCTATTTGACAATTTATTCGTATTTCTTCTTCATCATCAAATTATGCCACTCAAAGCATCAACTGCTGTGCTTTACAGAATAAAGAAATGGAGTCAGGCATTATATTCGATCAAAGAGTGAGCCCACATAGTGTACGAGTTTAGCTGACATTCAATACTACACACAGTGTCTTTGCCGAGTCCTAGTTATCACCAAGGAATCATATGATGTATGACATACAGTACTTTGGCACTTCAATTCAATTTTATTTGTATAGCGCATATTTACAACAACAAGTCATCTCATAGCGCTTAAGTCACATTAGATGAACACACAATATGTAGTTTAAATTTGTGCTCTGCATAAATTTCATATAAGTTGCTTGGTTTATGGATCCTATAATCATCTCCTATAGTTGAGGGTGTCAAGATGACATCAAAGCAGACGTTAAAAATGTCATAAGTTCGCTTTGCTGCCAGGTTTTTCTTCCCTTGAGCTACTGTTTGACTGTTCTTGAAGAGGCCTGCAAATGATAAAAGCTTTCTCATGCACAGTTCTTCACTCACACATAATCCCTGTACAAATGCAAAAGGGATAACACACCGGTGCCCAAGGCTTATGGTACACACACACATAAGGGCTCAGATTACAGCAATGCCTCACAAAAATGACATTCCAACACAACTGAGCTGCACCTTCATTTATGTTGGAAAAGAAACATAGTTTCTCCCTGAAAGGTAAGACTATGGCATAGTTGGAAACATTTCCAGTTTTGGACAGCCACAAAGTCCATGTTCGAAGGACAGGGGTAGAAAAATTCGCAACAGGACTTTCACCCACCAACTGGGGTTTATGTCCAGTATGAGACCATTATTCTGAGGACTTAAAGATAGTCTTTGGTGAAAATCAGTTTGCCTCTACCTTGTTAAAATGTTTATATGATATTTTGTATATGCTAGAAGAAGGGGAAATAAGTGTGCCATGGCTGAGCAGCGCCACTTTGAAACTGCAGCGTACTACTGACAGTCTAAAGAACCTAAAGAACCAATCCAGTCGGCTTGCAGCGTGGGACTTTCCGGATCACTATTCTTCCTCAGAATCGGTTTCCAGTTTAAACATACATGGATGAGTTACTCCAATATTAAAAACTGTGATTGTATAGCGTAGTTTTACAGCATTTGAACTGAATCATTTATTGAATTTCCCTTCTGGGATCAATAAAGTATTTTTCATTTCATTCATTCTTTTTTCATTTCATCATGGATGAGCTGGTGTGCTCAAGCTGCAGTAGGTAGGAAGATGTGGGTTAAGAAGGAGGTGATGGAGTTCTTAGATCCGCACATTTTTGAGAAAAGACAAACTATTTTCTAACATAGAAAAAGATTCGTTTCTAGGGGTTAAATCAATAGCTCACTCTTGATCTTCATTTTTACTTGCTGTGTTGTCATATTTAGGCACCCAAAGCACTTGATTAGGTTAAGGAAAAAATATAATCTTTGGCGTAAAATAATCCCTCTCAAGACATGTTTGAAGCCTCTCATTCATCTTCTGGGCCACCAAGGGGATGAGTCCCACCCATCCAATATGTGGTCGGTTGGATGAAAAGGCGCAACAGTTAGAAAGAAATTAAATAAAAGGCAAATGCACAGTATACTGAATAAAGACGTGTTTGTGATATAATATGTTTTAATCAAAATGTAATCAAGAATGTTCATTTGTGAAGCAATGGGATTTTTAGGAGATAAGGCTACAAACTTAAAACAGATATATAACAGTACAGCAGTGAACATACTAGAATGACATTGTACTACTAATACAGCATTAAACATGGCTGTATGACATTATTATCATCATACTTGAACAATTTATGATGATACAGGACAAAGCAATTCCCTTCCAGGAACACATTCTTTAGATGATTCTTACTCAACAGCTGGGGTTGCAGGTAGGGGTGGACTGCTTTATTTTTTTGAAGATTGGACATCACTGGTTTTTGATAAAAAATTAAATAAATGGCAAATAATGCTGGCTATGTATGCTACTTAAGGCTATTATTGTAAGTTTATTATATATGTTACTCAATATCTTAAGTGTTTAAAATATGCAGTGATACAAACTCTTCAGGCCCTAGGGAGTTGTTTAAAAGAATTTTAACAAAGTTGGTTAAGCTTCAATGTACCAAGACTTTTTCTATCTGATCATAATTTGAAGGCTTTGTTCGGGATGTGTGGTGGCTGGTTGGTCTGCTTTCTACTGACCATCTTTGACGTCCTGCCTTCAAAGTCTGATCAGTATGGCTTCTCAGCCAGGACGGACATCAGCCTGGATGCTGTAAAAAACTCCCCATGGTTTCATGTTCCTTACCCAGGTAAGTGCACAGATATTATACTTGTAACCCCACAAGCATTGGACTGTTTTTGTACACCTGAAAAACGTCCCCAAATTAATTTTATAGGGCCAAAATAAACAATCTTGAGGTCTGTTGAGCTCTGATCTCAAGAACTACATCTGTACAACCTCTTTTTGGGCTATTTTTGTGGGGTAAAAAAAGGACATACATATATACAGTATATATATATATATGTATACCTTTTTATAGGCATATAGATGTGTGTGTGCATGTGTATACAGAACCCATTTTACAATCACCTTTTGTAAAGTAATGCCATCTGATATCTTGCACACAGTTCAACTACTAAAGAACAATGTTTCACTTACTGCTGTATTACAGATTTGTCCTAACTTGTAGTTATTTGACTCTGCTTAGTACAATGGTACAATTCATTTGTCTTTTCTCAATGTGTCCCTAATATAATGGTTGGCAAACATCCAAAACAAATATAAACCAACGTCATTGCATAAAGAAGCTTAGCTGCGGGATCTACGTCTGCTCCTTAGTGATTCGCCACATTGTTGCTGCATGACAAATGACCAACTACTGCTGTTATTACTTAAAGCTTATCAGCTGAAAGTTTATTTTCTAAAACCAGATGATGATGATGATCGATCGATAAAATTACATATTTTTATATGTGCATCGAGACAACAAACCAGTTGGTGATGGCTGGCAACCATTTGCAGGATTTAGCATGTGGAGTACAGGATTCATAGTTTTGAAGAAAATTCTAAAACTTTTGGACCTTTCATTTTTTACAACCAATCCCAAAAATCATTTGAAAATGTAGTTCAAGATTTTCATCTTGTAAATGTTATATACTGTAAATACTTCTCAGTCCTGCTAACTTTCTGCTTTTTTTTTTTCCCAATATTGAATGCATATGTCTGTCAAAATATATGGACTTGTGGAGTTTGGAAAACTCCCTTGTGGGATCAGTCTGATCTCAGATTTCTTATTTACAAAAGTGAATGGAAAAGTTAATTTTATGACTTTGCAGCTTGAACTTGAACACTGTAATCCACTTTTGAAGTAGAAAACAACTGGCAAATATAAGAAAGATGCAACAAATTAAACATGTTTTTTTTATGATAGCAGATACAACACATTGATTGTAAACACTTTGCATCAAATTTGCATCAAATCGAAGGCTAAAAGCCAGCTAGATTTTCTTTCTGACCTGGCATGAGTAGGTGACCATATGCTTGTTTAAATGAATGTGTAAACATTTACATGACACAAGGTTTAGATTTGAGCATTTCAGACTGTTATTACAATTGGGAAAATCATTATAGCGACTTTTTGTGATTGTCATGTTGTTTTTCATGTTTTGTTCTGTTTCATGATTGTTTTTCTCAGAGACAGTCCAACGTCACCAACAGAGTGTACAGAGTGTTAAAATACTTAAAATGCTAAAATTAAAACTGCTGGAGAGTATAAACATAATAAAAGAGTGCTCAGCACTAATTTCTAACAATTTATCTATATTTCAACCAACTTTTTTTTTCTTTTTTTTTCTTTCCCTTTTTCTTCTTTCAATTCTAAATGCAGTCTGGGTAAAAAAAAAAAAAAAACAATGTTAAAAGTTCTTGTGTAAGTGGTGACTGATTTCTATCATGGGAACTCCATGAGTCAAACCACACATGCCAAAGACATCTACCAAGAACATGATCCCTCACAGGACTCTGTGTATGTAAACTGGGTTTATTTGAGGTAGAGGCATTGCAAAGAATTTAAACCTGGCTTTGAGCCACCCATGACCATAGGGTTAAATAAGCTGAAATGCTAATTTCATTTTAATTCATTGGCAGTGAACTCTAAAAGATACTTGGACTCCTTTATTAGCACAACAACCCATGTATAATTGCTCTACAATGAAAAGTACAAACCGGAATTTTCACAACAGCAAACCTTATAAAATGTATAATGGGATACTTTTAACTGCTGTGCTGAGGAGACATAAAACAATTAGCATCAGAAAAACAGCAGTGCCATGTGGAGAGCCTGTCTTAATTACAACAGGAGCACAGAGCCAGAAGTTTACATTCTCCTGTTGGTTCATTAGTGTGAGGAAATCACTCACTATTTTCTGACTGCAGTGACTACTGAGATGAATTTGCTGGATTAGAATCTTTTAAAATATTAGATATTAAAACCTTAGCAAGGCTGCATGGTGGCTCGGTGGTTAGCATCGTTGCCTTGCAGCTAAAAGATCCCCAATTCGCGTCCCGGTGAGGACACCCGGGAGTTTGCATGTTCTCCTTGTGCAGTGGGATTCTCTCCGCGTTCTCTGGCTTCCTCCCACAGTCCAAAAACATGTTGGGGTTAATTGGTGAAAGAGGTTGTATGTCTTTTTATACAGTGTATGTGTAATAGGGGTGGGGAGCCCCAAATACACTGAGTCCCAGGGGGAGCATTCTATATAAATAAATATTCAACGTGATGCTGATTAAAAGGATAACAAGGTTTATTAACAGGCTGGAGTTGTTAAAAAAAGACTATTTAAAATGTTCCTAGTCCGGGGCTAGAGAAAAATCCTGGTCAAGCCAGACATTAACCAGCTAGTCCTGCAGTGCGGCTTCCATGGAGGTTCCTCTCTTCCTCCTCCTTCGTCAGTCCTCTTCTCCGACGCTTGGGAGGATTGAGGCGACTTAGCTGAGAGAGGGGGGTTGGCTCACGCTCCCCCTCCACCACTCCCACAGTCACTGGCCACTCTTTGCTGTCCCCGCTCCAGTCCAGCCAGACGTGTGTGTGTTTCCCACACCTGGCCTGCCGTCCACCAACCCAGGAGCCACTCCCTGTGTCAGCTCCCATTCCTTGCTTCTCAGGACCTGCCACCATGCATGCTCAACACCCAAACCAGCATCTACTTGTGCCTAATCCTTGGGCCAGGGTTACAATCAGGCACACATGCCACCCAGGCACTCACCCTCTCCCATACACACAACATCACTCTGTGACATATGCACACTTTTGGTTTCAACTGTATTTATACAGTGCTTCACAAATTAGACAGGTGGTCTAATAAATTTGTTAAGCACTGTATATTTTACCAAAAGAACCCTCAAGGGCCTTTCAGACCACCCGCTAGCACTTTAACCTCTCAGTCAACACAAAATATCAAAATATCACAGATAAATTCTGTACATCATTAAGTGTTTAGTTTTTATCCTTCTTCATAGTCTTGCAGACACTGAACTATGCTTACTCTGTATCCACAGGTCAGTGGGGCTTACCCACAGTGAGCTTGTCTTCAGTGCTGGGTATGATGGCAGGTGTCTTGGCATCTACCATGGAATCCATTGGTGACTACTATGCATGTGCTCGTTTGTCTGGTGCTCCGCCACCACCCACTCATGCCATCAACAGAGGTATCGCTGTGGAGGGCATTGGCTGCATCCTGGCTGCGCTGTGGGGGACTGGAAATGGCACCACCTCCTACAGCCAGAACATTGCTGCACTTGGCATTACCAAGGTACCCACCATAGTTGCCTGTAGTTAGGTTGTGGGGTTGTCTAGGGATGCTTTTATTTTATTTTTTAGGCCACTTTAAGTGCTGACAAAACCATAGGCCTGGTCCATGAGCACCTAATTATGGCTTACATGTTAGCAAGCAGCTTTAGAATATTGTTTCTGACAACATGAATAAATGTAGATGTAATATAGCCTCTCCTTTAAACTGTGGTTTGGTCTCTATCTACTCGGATTGTATTCAGATGTTTCACTCAGACACATTACAAATAGTAAAACTGTCTGGCTCTTTAGCTGTTACACATTTGATTTTCTTTGCCAGCTGATGTTTGTGTAAGATTTAGTAAACTGTCTGTAAACCTAATTTGGAATTTAGTTCTTTGATTGCCAGCAGAAAACTGTTTGCATTTGTGGCCACTTGGCAGAGCAGAAGTTAACTGCTTCTTGGCACGTTCCTTAAGAAAAATTCCCAACTGTTGTCTTTAGTGCCAGAACATTTCAATAAAAATACAAGTGGACTTCTGTGAGCTCAACCTTTGATCTGGTAAGATGCATGCAAGGATTACATCCTACCCAGATTGAAATGTGCTGTTCCATCGTCAGTTCCACAGCTGGAACTTATTAAATAATAAGCGCTTATTAACAATAAAGCAAGGTTTTGGTTATTCTTCACTTTCTTGTGTACCGCTAACTATACTGAAATATTCCACATTTTAGAGGGTGTTTGTCTAGTTAGTTCTACACTTTACCCACACTGCAAGGCATCCTGTGATATGCTACATATCACTACATGTCAAACAGAAATAAGGGACAATAAATTAAATGAATAATTAAATGACCTATGGAAAGAACATACAATGCTGATTGAGAGGGAGTAGCTCTGCTGGTCATGGGCCTGTTCTCTTTTAATAAATCAGTTTCTGTTGATGATGCTACTTATAATTCATCTGCTATGGCCATGATTCAGCATGTTCAGCACTAAGAACAGTGTCCACAGATAGGAAGTTTAACTCAGTTCACAGCCTCAGCAGTGCCATACATACACTGAATGTAGAAACAGACCAGTAGCACAACTCACCAATAATCACTGCTTTTCTTCCTCTATCTTCTGTGAATATTGGTTTATGCAACATTCCTGTAATGCCATTTTGTCCAGGACACAGGAAAAAAAAAAGCAAAGTTCTCAAAATGGCATCCTGGTTATGTAACTGTAAAGTACAAGTACACATGTAAAAAGTTTGCACAGTTGTGTATATGAGGGGTTAAAGTGTCTTACTGCTTAATATTTTGGTGGACAAAGATGTGTAGCACCTCCCAACAAGAACCAGTAAGCAGGGAAAGCAGAGTAAAATATGATTTTGTTTGACCTTTTCATTATAGTCTTGTGATACAATGGGAGGCGAAGCATGTAATTATGGATAAATAATTGATTGTGTGCTGTAGTTGTTTGTGAGCCTCACTGTCTGACCAGAATAATCAGTTGACTTATGGCCAGATAGAACTGGAGGATGAGGAACAGTCTGTATTTCACTTTCAAATACAATCTTTTTGTGGAGCGTTTGTGAAAAAGAAAAACTTCTGTTTGCTTTTAGTTTAAAAAGCAAGAGAAAAAGCTTCAGACCAACATTCTATTGTGATGAATTGTTGACTTTCAAAGGGGTTATCTTCACATTTCTGAAAAACTGATTTAAGAAAAGAACAAGTCAAAACAAGAGTAAATGTGACTGTTGTAGCAAAAATGTAGCCTCACATGGCTGCACCACATATGAGATGTAACATACTAGGTAACTGTACTTCATGATTAAAACTGCACTCATTTATAGTCAGGGGCACCACCGAATATAAAATTAGTAAATTACTGATACTTGATACTCAATATTAATGAATGATCAAATATTATACTATTTAGCAGTTTTATAATCAAAAGTGATGAAATCAGATTTAATTGGTCTACAGTTCCCAACAAAGAAACACACAGTTAGACTGATGATAATTAGACAAATTTATTATATATATATATAGTCACATCGTCATATTCCTTTTAGGAGGGAGAAGGAGGCCGCTGCAGGATGTGTCACTGTGAGGATTTGCTGGATCTGGAACACAGGATGACACCGCTGCATAGTTGCATTAAGAAGTGCCAAAGTTGAAATACTAAGAGTCAAAGCTCATAGTTATAAAGAAAACATTTGTGTGTTTGTTTTATAAAAGTTAACTTAAGAAGCTCAACTTTAGGTAAAACCTAGAAAAAGAAAGCCCAACTTAAACTGTAGAAAAGCATGTAAAAAAACCCAATCAAAGAGCAGAGAAAAGCCCAGTTTAAGGACAACAAAGTAAAAACCCCAAAACAACCCACGTTGCATTCCAATGACTATTTAATGTAGGACATTTTCAAGCCAGTAGTCATGTTTTGGGATATTAGAAATAAAAGCTGTTGCTTTTTGCAGTTTAATTGTTTACTTGGGATATAGGGATTGACTCTCTCTTGGAGCCAGTCTCAAGTGTCCATTTAAGGAACTGCAGTTTTTAGCACTTTGTTTTCAGCCTTGGAGGTTGCTGCTTGATGCAAACATAGCAATCAGCAGTTTAGCACCTTCATCTCCTCTGTGTAAAGCCTTCCGCCTGATGCGGCAGTCAGTGTGCTTTAACCGCACCAGATATCTGCCGAACTCTCCAACTATAAACAACAGGTGTAATGCTTCAGTAGAGGATCTAACACGTTCAGTTACTGCTATGTTACAACGCTAACCATTCCTCCTAGAGAGATAAATTAGGAAAGTTGGACCTATTCTAAAATACAAACAAACTTAAGTCTACCTACTCAGCATCTGAACTGATTAAGTGCAGAACTACAGAAGCCACTGAAACACAGAGAGGCTGCTTTAAATGCTCTGACAAGGGTCACATTTAGTGCAGATCATATATACATTTTTGTGTGAAACTGTCCATCTCCACCAAAACAGTGAAACCCTATAGCAATAATCAACCCTGCATCAACACAGACATTAAACCTATACACAAGTTAAGTCCCCACTGCCATTTTACATTCAGAAGGTGGTGAGGCCCCTGTTGTGGAAAGTGATAAAGACGAAAGCAGAAGGCCCAAACAGGATCAGTCCAACTGATCTAAACTGCCTGTGCAGCTCAACTGGCTCCAGTGTTTCCCAACATTCCCTTTGATAATTGTATAGTTTCATCGTAAGAACGCAACTATAAACCCTGTGCCGGAAACAAGATCTCCAACCTCAAGCTTCAGATGAATTGCTTTAACATCTGCAGTTGCAAAGTCATTTGAGTAAATCATCTCTTCTAGCTGAAATCCAAGACCAGTCCAGCCCCCTGATGGACATTTGCCATTTTGCTTATGGAGCCAACATGTCTGTTGTGGATGCTGCTAGCTTACCCCTCCATCACACATTACAACACAGAGTCATGCTGCACCTATACTGCCCACAGTCCATTTATCAACTTCAACCAATAAATCCAGACATACACTGTTTGACATGAACACCGACTCCCGTATATGCTACTGAGTTCAGAGCTTACTATGGAAAAAAATGACTAAGTGTTAAGAAGAGTGACCATTTGTCTCAGCTTCTGTCCACTCATCTTGTCTCTTCTCTGTGGCAGCTCCAATAGGACAAATGTGCAGACAACACAAAAATAGTTGGACAATGCCGTCAGCAAGTAGCCAGAGCAGAGCAGTCAAACCCAACACATCAAAAACACAATGACTCATTGCAGTTTTAATGCATAGCCCCATCTACAAATCCTGCATATACATTTCAGGATAACTATCACTTATGCAAAATTTTTGGCACCTACAAGGGTACTTTAAAAAGTGCTCTGCCTCACCCAAATACAAGGAATGTAACTCCCATTTTGGGATATAACCGTATACTATAAAACTTTAGAGTACTGTCTACAAAATCTCAAATGTTTGAGGCACTCGAAGAAAAAAGGAGAGGAAAATTTTAAGCTAGTGTTATGTTGATGCAGGACAATGAGTCTGTCTGCACAGGTGGCAGAAGCAGTCAAATGTGGCTTTGATCTGTTGCTACATATGCCTTAATGACCCTACCTGCGCTATATGACTTCTGTTTCCCCAAACTGAAATCTCACCTGTGCAGTCACCATTTTCTGAGTCCTGATTAATGATGAATGCTGTTAAGGAGTACCTATTATTATTGAATTTCCCTTCTGGGATAAATAAAGTATTTTTCATTTCATTTCATTTCATTCTAAAGGCTCAAGATGTGACCTTCTTGTAGCGAGGCTTGAACATCATGCACTGAAGTCAAAAGAGACTATGTTGAAAAAAAAATGCAAGAACAATCCTCCTGCGACGTTTTCTGGTAAGGCCGAGAATTTTTTGAAGTACCCTCGTACAGCAACAAAAAACTCAAATGGACTATTATCGCAAAGTGTCCATCTTTATTCTATAGAGCTGTGATTTAGAAGATACCCACCTCATAACAATTTATTACGACAGTTTGGTCAGCAACACCTCAAAAAAAAATAAAAAATGCAGCTCAGATTCAACAGATCATCCAAGATTATTGGCGCCCCACTCCCATGAGTTGACCATATCACAAACAGGCAATTTAAAGAGCAAAAGAAATCAGTTTAAAAAAAAACAAAACAAAAAAAACACACATTTGTTTCCAGGACAAGAAGGACTCTGAACACGTCTCTCTAACCCTGAACCAAATACTTCCACTAAATCTTGTGAATACTGACTGGGATTTTGATCTTTTGATTATTCTGTGTTGTGCTAGTCATTGTTTGTATTGTCCAATGTGATGTTGAGGTCTGCCTATGTTTGAATTGCTGGCATTGTCGAAAATAACTTACCCACCTATCGGTACAAAAAGCAAACACCACTGACCTTGGTCATGTGCTCATTAAATGAATTCTGATTCCGACATTATACAAGCATTTATTTACATTTTTACAGTGTGTTTTACTGTTGTGATATGGCAAAAGTATATTACACAGAGCAAAGGTGTGTCAGTTTGATGTAGTCAAGTGTGTCTAAAATGCAAGCACAACTCCCACCTGAAACAAAGTCTGGGCTAGGGCTAAATGTCCTATGACTTCCGTATGCATTCGCATTCTTTTTCTGAGGCCACTTCCTGTGCTGTCTACATGCAAGCTAAAAATCATCACACAAGTGATTTGTTGTGTCCTTAATGAAACTTATTTACAGAGGTTCAAATGCTGTATTAAAAAAATGCTGGCATGGTGACGATGGATTAATACACCTGTCACAGGGGCAATCGGGGAACCCAGGTGCAGACACAGATCAGGCAGACAGGCAGGTTCAGCGCAAAAAAGGATTTAATAAGACAGAAACAAAACTGAAAACTAATACAAGAGTGCAGACTAAACAGAGTGGAAAACAGAACGAAATAAACCAGGCTGAATTCAAAAAAGGATGAAACTACAAAAACCAGAGAAAACTCCAACTAAGAATGGAGGTAAAAAAAAACCTAACGAATTTGAAGCTACAAAAACCAGGATACTCACACAAGGGGGAAAACAGAGGGGACAGACAGGCTCAGGGAATCCAGATAGAGACAAAGTGGAGACTGGCAGAAACATGCAAATAGAGTGTCTATGGTCCGGCAGAGTGTGGTGGAATGAACCGAGTCTTTATAGGAGCAGTGGTGATAGTGTGCAGGTGAGTCCGGAGTTGCAGCTGAGGGTGATTGTCTTGATTAGAGCCTAAATGCACAGGGGCAGAGAGGGAGAGTGACAGAGAGCAAGAGACAGACAGAGAGGAGGGAGAAGAGAGGGTGAAAAAGAGGGAGACAGGCAAGGGCTGGGGCTAAGGCTGGGGGGTCATGACAACACCTTGTACACACTTGAGATGTATTTGTGAGTCTCTATTTTCATTTCATGCTAGGTTGGCAGCAGACTGGTCCTCCAGACAACTGGAATCCTGATGATTGTATTGGGGATCTTTGGGAAGTTTGGAGCAGTTTTCATCACCATACCAGACCCAGTCATCGGAGGCATGTTCCTTGTTATGTTTGGAATGATTGCAGCAGTGGGTATATCCAATCTCCAGGTAAACACATTAAATATTCTAACATAGTTTATTCACTGGATCCTTTTATCCAGAGCACCTGCTGCATGGACTATAGCATGTCAGTATTCTTGTAAAATATTAAGACATTGGGAAACAGAACTAGACATTGTAGTCAAGCTGGATCCAGGAGTATTGTTCTGTTGCTGACCTGTGAGCTGAAATATGAGAAAAAACAGAAGGTGGGATCCTGTGGGGATCAGTTAATAAACACTTTAATTGGGTTGCATCTTTCATACATACCACAAATGAAGGTCATAAGAGTGATTTTCAGTGGTTTCTTAAAGGCATTTATATATTGTTTAAACAATGGCTGAATGTTGCAAAATATATTTAGCATATGTAACATGGCAGTTGCTGGCCCTCTAGAGGTGGAGTCCACATTGCAACTGTGAATGCTTTCTAAGAGTTGTGATACACTTCGAGTGTACAGCGTAGCTGGGAAACAGTCCAAGAAACAGGCTACCAAGTGAGCAAGGGTCAGCTGCAATCCTATTTCCTGCTACGAGATATTTCAATGTGATTAAAGCAGGAGTACCAGGTAAGGTCTTTGGCACCATTGGCCATTAAAACCACCCACAAAGACATCGGACATGATTAACCTCATAATAGTGTTTCGTTGGAGAAATGTCATTTATAGAATGAACTGACTCTAGCCTGGCCTGTGATAACCCATCGTGACCAGATTATTGTGTATCCCATACTAAAATAGAATTTGGGTCATTATGTATTTGTGGACTATTTGTAATTCCATTTTCGTAAAGTTCCAAAACAGAGATGGCAGCCATTTGATAGAGAACAACAAAATAATGGCTTGCATCTGAGAGTCAATAAACCAATTTGAGCAAATTTGCATCACCTAATCTGTCCTCTCTCTTTTCTCTCTCCAGTATGTTGATCTTAACTCTTCCCGTAACCTCCTCATCCTCGGCTTCTCTACCTTCAGCGGCCTTGTCTTACCTACGTGGTTTCACTCCAATCCCGGCATCATTGACACAGGTGATTTTAACACACACTTGCTCAGGCACACACTGGCACTGGGAACAACCTTTAGGGTTATATTAAAACAAATCTACACCAACGTTTGAAAACCTCCACTACAATACAGATGTAGCCTTGATAGTTAGGCGAAAAAATTGAATAAGGAGACGCCACATTATAGAACAGGATTAACTGGCTGTTTGCTGTGCTTACTTGTGCTGCAATTTGCATTTTGATCAGATGACAGATGAAGGAATGGCTTGAAAAATCTGGCTCTGACCTGAAACTCCCTCACACACCGTGAAGTTTTATTTATTTCACCAAAGTTTCTAGTCATTTCCCGACATGATGGCAATGGACTGCTAAGACAGGAATACACACACTCCAGTCATGGCGCAACACCAGCACCTATTGTTCCTATAGATGCTTACACACCATATTAATACATGTTAGTGAGGCATGGGATATAACAACAGGATGAGAAGAAGACCTTCGATGCTACTTGGAGGATCGCATGTCAGAAAATACTGTCTTATGAATCTTAAATATTGATTTAAAGTTGATGTTAAGGCACACAGAGGCAGGGGCTGGATCTGCTAGGAAGTAATTCAAATGTACTATCCAAATGAAAATTTGGGAAATATTGCTGACCTCATGTGAAACACAGCAATTGTCACAGCAAGCAAAATGGTGCAACCTACATTCATGCTCACAGGCATTACCTGCAGGGACCTCATCAGGGGTGCCAAAACCTTCAACAATATGGCATCCTGCTTTACTGAAAGAAGAATTAATTTGGAACAGACTGAAACTAATAACCCAGTTTGATAATACAGGAAAAGGTTAAGCAAAAACCAGAAGGCCACACAAAACACAAAGTGACAACAACAAAACAGCAGCAGAATTTACCATGCCACAAACCACAATTATACATGTTGAGACACTACTCACCTCTTGTGGTAAAAGGCATTAACACAGAATAACTCAAAGAGTTGGGCAACAGTAGGGTTTCAACACACGACATTCTCAACCAACATATCAGATCAGAGCTTGAACAGAAGGCAGTCAACTAGGTATGCAGTGTGAAAGGCTGACTTGTGCATGTTGGGCGATCACTTTAATGACATACCTGTAACACCAAACACTACCAGCCACAACAGAAGCAGTGGACAGCAGCCAACAAGAAGGATGAACATAGGTCATTAGGTGCCTTATGTAATCTGACCCTGATAAGGGAATTGTTTGAAGGGAGGAGTCGAGTGAAGGGGCTGTGGTCGCTAATTCCACACGATACTGTTTCACCTGCAAGAGGGGAGCAGTTCCCCTTACATTAGCTTGCAAAGATACCGCACTTCAAAGACAGTTACCACTTTAAAAGGGCAACAAGTTCATCACATTCACTCCCTGGGGCAGTGAATCGTAACTTGACTTCATCTGTTCCCACATTAGGTGTCTGTTTTGCTTAAGAATCCGTTATCTCCTACTGTATAATTTTATCTAGCAGTAGTCAACATTACAAGACTAAAACTGGAGCAGAGTCAATCAGATCAGCTGTCCCAGAAAAAAACAGCATGTCATTTTTGTGTTGTTTTGCTATTGTTCCAAAAATTGTGAAAATCCTTTTGGTTTGGAGCAATTGGGATTTACATTTGGATCTGGCTGTCTATTTTGCTTTTGATAACACAGAGATAAATTCAATAAACAATGCCAAAAAAATGACAGACCCCTATTAGAGGAGTGACATGGTCCTGGGACAGTGAGGCAATGTGCTCCCACTGCTCCACTTACAGATTACCCTTGATGACAGCAGTTCTGTATAGCCTAAGCTCCTGAGGCCAAGGTGTTCCCAAATCCAAAAGGCCCAGATGGCAAACACTTTACCTTTAGCCTTTTGCCTTTATCAGTCTGAATACGTTTCTGTGTCTTTGTCCCATCCCCCCCCCCACCCCCGGGCAATTATATCGTTTATAGGCAGTTATATCTGGGTCTTGATTCTTGGCAGAAAATCTCAGTCAGTTTGTAGCTCAGTTGTTTGGGCCAAGCCATGTGGGTTCCAATGGGTGCAAGGAGCAGTTTTACCTGTTGGGAGCACTGTTGGGGCTTCAACACGCACATGACTTTTTGTATGCTGCCACTGAAGGATTAAGGTGTTTTGTTCCAAATTTAATCATGTCTCTGCTATAACGATAGGGGGGGTTCAAATAATCTTGTCTTGATTATACGATACATTAGCTGCATGGGGAAACTACAGTTCGGAGGTGTGCATGCTGTTGGAGACTATCAAAAAAAAAAAATTCTAAAAAAGGAAGACCATGGACAAAACAAACACAAAAGCAGCAAAATTTTGCTTTTTTTTTTTTTTTATATCATTACACTCAAGTTTTTCTGTATTTTTCTGGCATATTAGTGATTACAGATATTACTAAGTGAATACTTATTCAGGTCACAAAAAGAATTTTTAAAAAAATATTTTTGGTTTGTTGTTTGTTTATATGCTGGAATATCTGTAATGGGATAAATTCACCAATTATATCACATTCGATGTGAAACGGTTTAAAGACAATAGATTAGAGTGCTGAGGTTACCACAGTCATAATTCTAACACATTTCAGGCATTTAATCTGCTTTAAATGTGTGTTTATTGGTATTTCTGAGTCGTTTTCTGGGTACCAGTGTGGGCAAATAGCAGTGGCTGTGCGTGAAAAGTCGTCAGACTATGTATTTGTCCTTTCATTAGTGTCACTGCTGTTTGGTCGAGTAGGCAGAGCAAGAAACACAGAAACCACTTGCAGACAAAAAAGTGGAAAAAAAATAGAACAAGTGGATGAAAAGGTGAAATATTGTTTTGCAATACCAGAAATTCTCCTCTGCATTAAATAAACATAATTCACACATGCATTAATGCACAACAGCTAAATCCCAGTTGCACAATCCAGCCGTAAAACATTGATTCAACAGACGAAATTAGACGTTGTGAAGTCAGTATGATCAATCACAAATCTTAGAACAGATCAGAGATCAATCACAGACTGTCAGCTGATGTTTCCCTTCTTTTGATGACACATTGATTGGCTGTGGGGTGTCTTTGGGGCCACCTCCTTTGAAGCAGCATCAAAAGAGCAATCCTCAAGATTAAACAGCTCTTTTCTGCAGACATAAGACCTTGATCCCATGAGTCATGTGATGCTAGTTTCTCCCAGGAGAGTGCTAATCCACAGTTCATGCTGGGCATGAGGGCTTGTCTGGTTTTCTCAGGTCTAGGCTGCTTACCTCCCAATCCTCTTGGCTAGCCCCCATGTCACTGGCTGTAATCTGCCCGGCTCAGATGAAGCACTCTTACCCCCAAGTCTTTCCCCAGCCTCAACACCCAGCTGATAGCTCCAGACAAGAGGAGGCCTGTCAATGCTCTTTGTACGCAGACTGCTGCTCATCCAGACGTTCTTACATGCACAGACTGTAGGACTTAAAATCAACTCAGTGGGTGCCTTGAACTTTTGACTGCTGCCTCTTTGGGCAGGAAATATGTGTGTGCCTGTGTGTGTGTTTGTTGGGATGAGTTATGTGAACACGAGCGTCAGACTACGTCAGTGCTGTTTACAGTTCTTGATTCAATTCAATGCAACTTCATTAGGCAGTTTATTGCCTGAGGGGCATTATGAAAGCATGGCATTGGCCATGCCGGCATTCGCATATTCAATGGCCCTTTGTATTCATCCATGTGCTAGTGGTCACACATGCCACATGAAAGGCCAACTCTGACTCAGGAAATTAGAGCATCTCCGTGGTCCAGTGATTACAAAGGATGCCCCTCGGCCACCAAACAACCCTAATAAGTCCAAATATCTGGACATCTTAGGACCTGTGAACTTCACAGGACATGCTGGCATATTGTTCTTCATTATCACAACTTCTTTACTCTGTGTAACTCTACGTGACCTTAAGGGAAGGTAAACAGAAATTATATACTAAGAAAGTTTGCTGTCTTTTTGCACTAAGAGAATTAGTTTATTTTAGCGCATGTAAGGTTTTAAGTCAAAGCTTTTTGTAACTGAAGTTACAAGAAAAATGTTTCTCTCTTTGATGCAAGGCCTGAGAGATCTATTACTGTGATCACTGCTTACACCAGTATAACGGACGTTAATTTAATTTTGTTTGTAGCAAGATAATTTCTGAATTTGATGAATCAAGTTTGTGGAATTGAAAAATCTCATTGAAAAATTTCTGTTCCAATAAAACAGTGAGGTTTGCAAACTTTCACTGAGATGCTGTTCCAGAGAGGACACAATGCCGCCGAGTCTTTTTAATTCTAATCTGTTTATTTCACCTTTTTTACGCTTTGAGCTTAAATCTCAAAGTAACCGATTCTTCATTTTAGCTGATGCTAACATAATGCACCCAAGCCTGTGGCTTCATTTTAGGACATGATGGCACCAGGTTTGGACAAGGATGAAGAATGTGTGAATTAAAAATATATGATCCCGCTAGTTCTGCACTGTGGTAAAAGTGGTAAAATTTGAAGGCTAGAAAATATAAAAGCATTTTTGAGTTACAGTTAAACTTAGCATCTTTAGGTTGGGCTTTGGGTTTATCCACATTAAAATGTTGAATTTTTCTGACCTTTTTTAAATTATAGTAACATAACTTTTAACATTATTACAGCTCTGAACTTGTACGTCTGTTATTTTTAAATGTTAAAGTAAATCAATTCTGTATGCTCTATCTGCTCAAAATTTTTAATCACTTATTTGCAGTTCCATCTTGGCTGCTTTTGATCTATGAGAAGTGAGCAGGAAACTTCTGCTGCAGCTGTTTTTGTTTTTTATTTCTAACACAGAGGAAATCATCTGTTTCCTCCACATTCATTCATAAAGAGACACATAACGTCCTTGATCATGTCACTACTTTCTGTGACATTTTAACCTCATTCCCATACATGGTGAGAAGTCTACGTGAATAAGCTTACATGTTTTCTTTATAACTACATGTGTTAGGAAACAGTTTATTGTACATTTAGTCAATTGAACTCAAGATTTTAAGTTCTGAAAGTGCTAATTAATAATCAACTAATTAATAATTACACAGAAAAATGTAAATGAAGAATATATTAACTCTATAAGACCAAGTGTATCATATATGATACATGACTTTTTTTAAACCTCTGCATCATTAGTGTAATATTTTTTTGCCTGAAAAACCTGATGTATGCAATCAGACACACTCAGTGCATACATAGTCCACCACGGATCATAATTCATGCACCAAAAATGCCAGATGCAGCAAAAACGATTAAAATTAAAACTCATATATGAAAACTGCTATTTTATTTATTTATTTTTGGCTGGAAGGATCATTAAACACTCCTTTTTTTTTTTCTTTTTTTTTTAAAATTGAATTTTCTGGCAGTTATTTCATGGTTTAGGCTTTACAGGGTTAAGTATGAGTGACTATTAGATTTTACAGTGCATAGGATGGAAAATCTAATATTTGTACTCAACTAAAGAGTTATACTGCAAAAGGACACTAGCTTGATTTTTCCTGTTCTGAGAACTCTGATCATTTGCACTTCTGCAAATCTTCAATACCTTTTGTTCATACTACATAAGTTGCAGTTTCTACAGAGTGCTTTGATTTTTATCCTTTTGAACTACATGTTACAGCAGTACTACACTGGATCACTGTAGTTCTCTTTTAAACATCCTGTAGTTCCAATGTGCAGATATCTCAAAAAGGAAACATTTTCTGACAAAGCAATGATGTCAGGCAGTAGAATCTGTAATTTTGCAGAAGCACCCTTAATTTTTTGCAGCAGAAGGGCCCGAGGTAGGCATAAAACCAAATTTATCTACATGTCGAGATTTCACTCATGCTAATGGGTAACCTGATCCTGCATTTTGAAAAACTATAACCTTTGCTTTATGAAAATGTCATAAAAATATATATCAAATTAATTTTAATTATAGTCTTGTGTCTATATGACAGTCTCGTTTTTGGCCATATAAAGGGAGTTAAAATTTTAAGACTTTAGAGGCATCATCACACATGGGTATTGGTTGTCTAGCCAAGAAACCACGAGCGTGAGATTCATCCAACAGACGGATCGGAGCCGTGTGGATTGGCTGTTATCCTGTCCAACTGGATTTACTGCCAGGCCCCAGTTGCTCTTGGTTTTGGCATTGAGGGTGCTTGTATTTCTTTCACTTTTTGTGGCCTAAAGCTGACCTTTGGCCTTTGTGAGGAGGAGGCAAGAACAACGAGAATCTCCCTACAAGATTTATAGTTGTCACATTGTTTAACAAGTTACAAAAGAATAACAAATGACTTTGTTTATTCTCTTCTCTGTTTGAAGGAATAAAAGAGCTGGACCAAGTGATCGTTGTGCTCTTTACCACACATATGTTCATTGGTGGATTTTTTGGGTTCATCCTGGATAACACCATTCCAGGTAGGACAAAATAGTTTAAGATGGAAAAAAATAATTCATCATGGCGGCCCAGTGGGTGATTGTTTTGGGTGCATTCCACATGCATGCTAATGCCCTAAGCAGGGAGTCCCTGGTTGAAATCCCAGCTGGCTGGACTATTTACTGCACATCATTCCTCTGCCCTCCCTGTATACTTACCTCTCACTCACAAGGCAAAAAAGGTCCAGAATGTCCTAATATAAGCTAACTCCATCTTCACTTTTTCAGGCACTGACAAAGAGAGAGGGATCAAGAACTGGCAGGACAAGGTGCAAGGGGAAAGCAAATTCACATGTGACCAGTCATGCTATGACATCCCTTTCTGTACCCGCATTTTCAAAAGGTTTAGGTGTTTCCAGTACCTGCCCTTCCTCCCTTCTTACAACACCAGTCAGGACGGGACATCCAAGTAATGACATGATACCTTTCTGGGCATCACTGACCCTGGATTGTTAGCCACATAAAGCAAAACAGTAGGCAGTGAACACTGGCAAAATAGACATGGACATGACAACAAAAAAAACTGGCTCCTGTATTCAGTTAAACACAGTTTGTGAAAATGAAGTGGATATGACATGATGTTGTTATAATGCATACTTTTAATTGAGACAAAACCACACTTTAAGGTGAGTGTGCTGCCTTCCTGTTCTAGTGGTCAAATACATGCAGGTTTGTTGATTAGATAACTAAAACTCAACTGTTTAATCTCTAAAACAAATATTAGTGGACACTTTTTTACGATTTTTCCAGATAACATAAACATAACCCACAGCAATGAACATTTAATAAGGAAGAACAACCTATAAACTACAAAACATATATACTCTTTACCACTACAAGTCAAACAGTTTTGTCTATATGTGCAGCAAAACAGTAAAACTCTTAAGAAATGAAGCTGCTCTACTCACATTTAGAATGCAGCTATGCAGAGCCATCAGTCATCATGAACAGCAGAGATTTTGACTTGTGAAAGAGATTTTCAAGATGAAACATTTTGTCAGTTCTTTCTTTCAACGCCTTTGTATCTCACATGTTGCAAAATTTCACATGTTTTTGTTGGACTACAGTCAAGTCACTTTCATGTATCATCAGTGAACCGATGCACCGGTCCAACGCAGAGTCAGAGATAAGATGGAAAGCTGCTGGTGTTCAAGGTGCCTTGGAGCCACTGTTCGGGTGCTATGAATTTAACCTGTACATTTTGAGAATGTTTTCATTTACATTATCAAGCTGACTGCGCTATATGTTTTATTCTGTCGTCTCTCACTGTATAGGGGTGGATTTTTGATTTTTAAATATGCTTTTACATTTAGACAGCTATTTGTAATGTAATTTCACTAATTTTTGTACTAAACTTATGAAACAGTCCTGAACTGTTACAGTCGAGGATTGTTGTTAGTAAATAAATTCTGAACTTACTAAAGATTTTCATAATCTGTCTTGCACTTATTTAAATTTAAGGTGTTTTTTTTTAAGTTAAAAGTGTTCATCTGTTAAATTTCCTAATCAGATTAACATTATCGCATGTGTGTATGCTCATTCACTCTTTAATGTGAGAATGAACATGCAATCTTTTGTTAATTAACATGAAATATGAAGCTCAGAAATATTTGGGCTGCATTTTTATTTAGCTTTCAGTATGCACCAAAGCTACACTTAAGTATGTAGTGTTACAGGAAGTGTGCCTGGAGCATAGTACTTTGACATAATATTGTGCTTCAAGCTTTGACTGTTATGCTCATACAGACGTGAAAGCCAAAATGAGCTGTTGTCTGTCTGTACAACCCTGTCTCCACAAAATGATGTACCTGGATTACTAAACTACATTCTTATTTAGCAATTGAAAGAAATAAGGTAATACGTTTATAATGTAATTTCCTACCCATGATATTGTAGGAAAGGCCTCCTGTTTGAAAGAGTCACAAAGTCTGCTTGAGGAAGTAAGAGAGGAAGATGGAGGCAAATATTGGCACTGGACTTGAACTTTAGCTCCGATTACACTTGTTCGTTAGGTTTAGTCACAAAAACTATCCACCACACAAAATCTGAAACTGGCAGTAACAGTTTTGTTTTTTGTTTTTTAAAGGCAGCACAGAGGTTTAATTACACAGCTTAAAGATTCCCTCTGGTTCTTGACCTCGACGAGCAGTAGGAAGTTGTTTTTCACCATTTAGTTTGTCTTGTGCACACAAACACACATCAGTAACACTGGTTACGTTGATTTAACAGAAGTTTATATGACAGGCCTCTGTGAGTCCAATATTTTTTTTTGCAGCTGGGTGGAAGGATTTGATTTCTCTCAGCTGCCATCACTCTACACACTTGACATCCTTTACAGACAAGGAAATCTTGCTGCTTAGTATCATAGTGACGAACTCACTGAAATCTTTAATTTGCCACTCTGAGGGATAAAAAGAAAAACATGTAATTATTTTATTAACATTTTAAAGTCCTGATTACACTTTGTTAAATCTGACAGCAGATTTACCGTCAAACTGTCAAAAATTAAAGAATGAAAGTTGAAGCAGGGAAAAAGTGAGTAAAAAAATTTGATTTGCTCTTGCTGTATTAGAAAAGATAAACCCAAATCAAGCCTGTACATGGGCTGCAAGGTGGCACAGTTGGTAGCGCTGTTGCCTCGCAGCAAGAAGGTCGCTGGTTTATGTCCAGGTGGGGGCACCGGGATCTTCTTCTTTCAGCGTGGGTTCTCTCCGGGTTCTCCGGCTTCCTCCCACACAGTCCAAAAACATGCCAAGGTTAATTGGTGACACTAAATTGTCCGTAGGTGTGAATGTGAGTGTGCTTGGTTGTCTGTCTCGAAGAGTAGCCCTGTGATAGACTGGCACCTGTCCAGGGTGTCCCCTGACTTCACCCTAAGTCAGCTGGGATAGGCTCCAGCCCCCCCGCGACCCCAGTGAGGATTAAGCGGTGTATAGATAATGGATGGATGGATGGAAGCCTGTACTAAAATGAATGCACAACAAATACACATGTTGGCACAACTCTATACTTTACATAGTTTTGTTATCCTCAGCTCTTCAAGTACAAGAAGGTTTTGGTTAGGGTCACTGGCAGCTACATGTTACGTCTCGAGCTCTAACGACATTGCTCTGAATACCTTCTAAAACAGAAGAAAATCTGTCAAAAACAAAAGCTTTACACAGCCCAAATGCACCCCAGTTGCATTAAAGTGAACTAACCATGAAGAGCTCGTTCTGAGCAAGATTCAACACACATAGGTGAGTAAATTCTCATTGCAACTTTCTAAGTTTAGACAAACTTGTATTTTATCTGAGAGGCCATCATGCCATCAGTTACTGTGGATGGGTGTGAAAGGGGATGATGTTTTGATGCTTTTAATGAGAAGTCGCACAATTTAGAATCAAATATATTAAAGATGGATTGTCATAAAGAGCTGAGGCTATTTGTGTAGCTTGCATCAGGCGCGTGCTGCAGGGTTGTGGTAACACTGTCAAGAGCTATCAACAACAATTCAAAGCATCTTTTAAATGCAAACATGCTCTGGATGATTCTTTAGTGGATGAGTAACAGTAATGTACTTCTACTGAGTAAGACAATGTGTTAAATATGCACATGTGCCAGTGCCCATACACTAATGTAACATGCTGTATAAATGTAATCTTAAGAGGCCTCTTCCTCCCACACAGCATGCTGTCATGTTTTACAGTCAGGATACTGACTGAGGGGAAGGTTAATTGGGTTAACGTAAATGCTAAGATTAGGCTGCTTGTGTTAGCAGTCCGGGTGAGGTTTAAGCAGTGCAGCTAAGAGACCCTCAAAAGTGTAATGGCAAAGAGGTGTTTAAGTGTCTAAATGTGCACAGACCTGTACGTGATACCAGAGTACATGCAGCATGAGTCCAAATGTTTAGGTTTTTTTTCAAATTCTTTCCTTTGAAAACAAGCTTTTACTGGTGTATTGTTCGAAGCTCCCACTGATACAAAAAATCTTTAACATCTCTTCCTTTCCCAGGATTAGGATCAACAGTACACCCTAAAGCACACAATAAAGATTAGCCTCTCAGCCTTTTTTTTTTTTTTTTGAGAAGTTGTGGGTGATCACAAGATCTCTGAGGTTTGCTAATCAGGCACAAGGGTTACAGGGTTTTTTTGTTTGTTTGTTTGTTTGTTTGTTTTGTTTTTTCCCCTCTTGTGACTTTGTTTTCCTATCTGGAAATGACATGTGCTTTTATAGTGTGAAAACAAGCTTAGTAAGCAAAGACTATGCAAAACTTCACTATTTCCAGACCCTTGCAAGACATGCACAGCATTTTTGAAATAAAGTCGTAAAAAGTGATGTTCCTTTAACTGAGAAAAAAACAATTATTTATACAAATATTTTACAAATGAATGAGTTAATGTTGTTTTATTAGCTATTAAGGGATATTACACTCAAACTCTTCTGTGTAGCATCAGATGATCACATCCCATTTCACCTTTTCACGACCAGGCAGTTGAGTTATTGGATTTTGATAGGTAGTGTACTGATTTTATTCATACGTTGGGTGGGATGGATTTATTATTCAAAGTTCTTCATTATACAGCAATAATTTTCACAAATTTCATTTGCACTATACAGATTTTCTCCTAATCATTAAAGGCAAAGGGGACAGCATAGCAATTCATAGTGATTTAAAAGAACACAATTGGAAAGAACCATATGCTTTCACTATTCATGGATAATTCAGAATTGTTCATTTAGTCTGTCAAAGGACTTCAAACATCAAGTAAAATCTGAGATTATAAGGCAAACATGCAGAAAAACAAAACAATGACAACACCTGTTGCATCCTTTTATAGATCCTAATGAAAAACATTTCTGTAAGGAAACATTTAATTACATTTCATAGCAACTCAAGAAAGACATTGCTTATATCTTGATTGGTTTACAGTGCCTATAAAAATCACCTCCCCTAGTAGGTTTTCCTCATTTATTGCTTTTTAACATTAAATCATAGTCAATTTATTTTCTTTTTTGTCAAGAATTTACCAAAAAAGTCTCTTTAATGTGAAAGTGAAAGATTTTTGCAATTGAAAAAAAAACAAGGTTTTTAGCCATCAAACTAAATGCGAGTTACACCAAACACTGCACAATATCACAAACACACCATTCCCAACAATTCCTCCTCCTCCTCCTCGCCGCCGCCGTTCGCCTCCGGGCCACGCCACGCGGGCACCCCTCCTTAGTCTGCTGCCACCATGATGGTGGTGGCAGCATCATGATGAGGAGATGCTTCGACAACAGACTCTGGAAGGCCTTTAAAGGAAGAAGGTAAAATGAATGCAGCAAAGTACAGGGAAGTCCCAGAGGAAAACCTGATGCAGTCTGCAAGAGAACTGAATTTTGGGAGGAGATTTGTTTCCCAGCAAGACAGCGACCGGAAGCATACAGC